TCAAGAGCCAAGGCAGAATAACTCTTGCCAATAGGTGCTACAGTCAGGTGGACTCAATCCGAATAGTTAGGCAAATGAGAAGTAAAGTTCTCTCCCGACCAACAAAGAACAAACTCTACAAGTCCCTTATCACTCCCATCCTACTATATGGCGCAGAGCTATGGTATGAGTAAATGACATCATCTGATTAGTCGGCCTTAGGAGTGTACACGAGAAAAGTTTTGGGGAAGATTTATGATCCTCTAACGATTGGCAACGGCGAGTACTACAGTCAATGGAATGATGATCTTTATGAGATATTTGGCGACATTGACATAGATCAGCGTATCAAGAGGCCGCGACTCCGCTGGGTACGTTAAGTTGTCTGAAAGGAAGAGTACACATCAGCTTTGAAGGTTTTTCGATTCAGTACTCGCTGGCGGAAACGGAAGAAGAGAGGAGGACTGTAACCCTTTTGTTTTTTGGCTTAGAAATCACGAAGCAAAAATTATGGTTCTCGAGAGCCAGTTTCGAACTCTATTCAATAGCTATATATGTTGGTCAAAATTTTAGCATCCAATGAGTCCAACTTTCATGGCTCCCCCCGCTTAAAAATGCACTTCTTTTGCACCAAGCAGAAGTTCTTCTATTTTTTATGCGTCCAGTCGACGAGCCATGGTCACCCCACCTTCTAACCGACCGTCTGTTGTACCGATTAATTAGCATTGGTAATTGATGTTTGCAAAAGTTTTGCCTACGATTTCTACATTTCGGACGTTTCAACACAAAAATGTGTCCAACTGACCGTACATCTCCTGGTGTGTCTCCGCTTTTGGCGGCCGGCTATGTGTTGTCCGGGAGTTGCCCTTTTTTGCGTGTGGACACAACGCGCTGTGGCTATGTTTGGTATTGGCTCGTAGCTCACGGTGATGTTATTGCAATGGAAGTTTTGCAGTTGTGGTCCCGGTTTATGTATGCATGTTTGTTTGTACCTATATATGCGGATGAATGTTTGCAGTCCATTGAACGTGCCGGCGTACATTAGTTTGGTACGTGACTTTGGTGCGAATTACTTTTGCTTTGATTTAATGTAATTAAAAAATTTGTAAGCAAATTTTAAAAATATATACATATGTATGTATGTATGTATCACACATTCGTATGATTAATTAAATGGTAGCAAGTGGCAGAAAATGTTGCAAAAAGTGGTAGGAGGTTGCGAGGGTGCCTTTACTTGAAAATAATTTATTAATCGCTTTTACCGCCCAAACTTAATTGAGAAAGCTCTATAATCATTATTTCGATTATTTCTTTACCATCTTCTTTGGTATAAGCTGAAATATACACCCTTTTAGGGTCGTTTCCAGAAGATTGTCACGGCATGCCCTCCAATCTACTCTACAAGGTATTTTAAGTTAGAAATTCTTTCTTTCGGTCTCAGGAACTATCCTTTGTAAATTTAATTGTGTGTTGTTCTGAAGAACCAATAGCTTACATTAGTTTACATACCTAGGTCTTATGGCTGTTTCTCGATAGGGATACCTCCTTTCAACAATAAGTATCAAATTTCGGGGGTGCCAAACATCCATACATATGAAGAAAATACTCAAAGAATTTGGACATATTAAGTAAATCAAAAGTCTGCTGAGACGGTTGATTCGACCGAGTTTATCTGGAGAGCAAAAGATGTGAAACCCAAGTTTTTTAAGAGAAGAAGGAAGTGTCCATCTGATCTACCACTCCAAGGCTTCTACCAGAATTGGCATTGGTTTAGATTTCACCTTACAACTCGTAAGGTATGAGTTTTTTGGGAGCAAACAGCTCATCTCATTTCTTGTTATTCGCCCTGTTACTAAAGGATCATTAAATAGTGTACAATAAATACAGAAAGTGGACGTCGAAAACTCACATCCATCACAGTCTGATCTTAATGAGCAAACTCTATTTTACGGGCTGTTTATATACCATAATAGTACGCACAACAGTTTCCTGTTGCCAAGGTAGCTCCGCACCCCAGCCCTGAGGTAGTCGGATATCTTAAAACTTTTCTAGAGAGCGTCGATCATATCCACCCATCTAGCGCTGTTGAAGACGTTTCGGACGGCTAGAGTCGCCAGCAACACTATTTTTTCAATGATTTCACGATGTGATCCATTTTGGCACCGGTTAAGCCAAGTGGCTTTGCTCGAGCGCCGAGTTTCTTCATCACTATTTTATACCCGAGTCCCCAAGGGTTTCTCCCATTTTTTCTTTTTGCTGTCGTCGATGGCGTTCAGTTCTTTTTTTGCTGCTTTGTATTGGTCGGCTTCCCTGCGTCTGGTTCTCGTGTAGGATCTGCGAAGGTGGAAGCTTCTCCGTCTGAGTTGGGCGATATTTTCAGTCCACCAGTAAACTGCTGCTTTATGTTTGTTGTGGAAAGCCTTGAGCATTGATTTTTGACAGACTTTTGCTATATTAAGCATTGTGTGCTCGACAATTTTTCTAGCAATAATGGGGGAGTTGCTAGATGGGTTCTGGTCGTCTATTGCGGAGTTTAATTTCGTAGTATGTAGTTCCGAAATGTTCCACATTCGTGCTCCAGTATTTTTTCTGAGCTGGTTAGCATTTGTAGTATTAGTAAATAGTCATATTACTTTTATAGTTAATTTAACATGGTATCAGTTACCATGGTTAGAATGATCCTTTTTATATCCAATATGCACCGTTTTGTTCAACGATTTCTTTTGTTTTAATTAATAATTTAATTTAATTTTTGTTATAATTTCATAGCTCTTATAAAAACTCTCGTCCCTATCGGCCAAAAGTTAAAACAAGTGACTTTCGCCAGCTTCTTGTGCGGCTAGAATCTACCAACCAAGCTTCTGGAGCTCTGATGAGTCTGGTGACCTGACCCTATCTTGATAGAATAAGATTTCTCTTGACGATTGCTTCCTTCAGACGTCCAAATGTTGGCAACATAGGTCCAAATTTGGTTTTTGGCCGTAGCAGATCATAGTAGTAGATGTTTATAATATAACGTTGCCGTAAGTTTTTTCCATTTTAAAAAAGAAACGATTTGATTGCGATTCAGCAGCGATTCGAAGAAGAAATCAAACAATACTGCGTTAAGCAATCACAATACTGTATGAGAAGCTTTTTTAGTATGAAATCCTATCTTTCCAACGCCATATAGCCCAATCGTCCCAAATCGTCAGATGCAGATCACGTAGAAGCGTAAAGCAAATTTTAAGCAACGAAAATCACTTTATTGTTTTTCAAAATATTCTCCATGACCATTTAGTTTATATTTTACGAACGGGAATAAAAATAAATCATTTGGCCCCAAGTCAGGAATCTACGGCACGATTACTCATCAAATCAATGCTTTAAGTGATCAAAAGTGTGGCTATTTCAGTCAAAGTGTGAGAGCTTTCGTTGTCGTGGTGAAGAGTCTTCGGCGGTTGGTTTTCTAATTTCTTGAAAGACAACTTGTAATTAGAGGTTTAGGTACCACTCAGAATTGACAGTTCTGCGTTATGCCAGTCATATGGTTGCGACATGACTATAATAAAATAATATTTAATTCGATTTCTTGGTCAAGAAGAATACTTTAAGTTACTCTAAGCAACACAAATAGCGCTCTTCGGTTAAAACGTTCTGAGTATTCATACCATCAAAAATGTCAAACTTTGCGATAAAGTTGTGAGTTGCAATATTCCTACTATAGGACTGCCAAATCCAGAATTATAAAAGCAACCTACTTACTAAAGCTATCGATTATTACGATTATTAAAATAATTGACTTAAAATAATATTATTTAATAAAGAAAGACCTTAAGGTAATCGATATATTGTTAAACACTCCTTAACTAGTTTAGAGGCACGGTGTTCGCTGTCCTCTCCGAGGGCATACTTGGGAAAAATACCTACTACTGTCACTCGAACACTGCTAGTAAAGCTCTACTGACTGAAAGCCGGAAACTAAGGCTAATGAAGATGTAGACAGTATACTTACTTACCAACTTTCACGATGAGCTTCGACCTATTCGCGAAAGTCTCTCTCACTCTGACAGGAAATCTGCTGTTTCGTCCGGGTATGACCATAGAGATGGGATGTCAGATATGTAGGGCATGCAAAGGCTGGACATATATTTGATATGTCAGAGTCGAGTTTGATCAAGTAGGAATTTACAATATCCATAATGAAGCTGCGCAGAGGTCTCTCTCGATTCTCGTGCAAACTTGAGCTCGTTGTCTGCAGTGGGTAGTGGTTTGACTCTAAATACGCCATTCACTGAGGGGGAGTCAGTGAAGGTTTAAATGGCTACACTGTGAATGACGGTCAGAATACGTTCGAAGTCTGGTCGATGTATTGTTTTATGTCGTCGACGTAGTTGAATAAGGACCTCTTCATGCTCCTAGGAGGCGTTTCCGCTACAAGCATGTGATTACATGATCTCTAAGAAAGCACCTGAACAGAAACTGCTTAGAACAGTTGTTCGATGGAAGACCTACCATTGTAGTCCAAAGTACAGTATTCTGACATGTCTGTAACCTCCTCATCTGTGTTTCATTGCATCCAGGCGACCATATTGGTACAGCTTAGTTAAGAACCAGCCGGACGATTACTCTTTAAGTATGTTACCCACAACGTTTTTTTGTTGTTTTCGCATATGCTGCCGGCTAGCAACTTTTTATTATTTTACTCCAGTGCATAGTTTCTTTCTTAACAGACAAAACCAAGGTATTTGACTTTCATCATAAAACTGCGTAATCTCTTTAAGCAATCACTTTCCTCAAGTCTCCAGCAATGTATTTACCACCTCAATTCAAAGTAATTGGTAAATAATCCATTTAAATTTGTTTTAAAATCTTTTAGCACAAAAAATTATATTTAGTTCCTTGCACAACCTTTCCAGCTCTACCTTCTCACATCTTATCAAACACTATAATTTCCTAGTTATCGGTTAAACACCTATTTATATTTATAATTCATACAAATCTCTCTTCTAAATATCTAAGTACTCGCGTATGCTTCACAGTTACATGCTGAAAAAACACACAGCGAGTCATGCCACTTTGCCGTCGGAAAATGCTGAAAATACTTGTAAATATGAGAATTGCAAATATGTTGCCGCAAGTGCAAGTTTACTGCGCGTTCATGCGGCATCACATGCCAAGGAGCAGCTAAAATGCAATGAACCATCGTGCAACTATGAAGGGAAAAGTTTGCTGCACTTAAAGAGGTAAGCGATTTAATATTTAATTTCATATTTATACCAAAGCGTCGTCTTTGATTCGGCCAACACTTAGTGAGTGGCAAAACGAACGAGCAACTTGCATAAATACATTAATTGGAGCAGTGCTACACGGGAGGTGTTTCAAATGTGTTTAAGAGGTTTGTAAGCTTGTGGAAATTGTGTTCAAAAGTTTTAATAAGGGACATTGGTGCTGTTTATTTTAAGAGACTATTCTGGATCCACGGAGCGTCAATTTCACTTTTGGGAATAAGAAAAAATTATACGGGGCCAAATCTGGTGAATACGTTGGTTGATGGATGTTATTCTTTGCGCTCTTGGCATTAAATTCGGTCAAAATGGTGGCTCTATGCGAAGGTGCATTATCGTCGTGTAAAATCCATGAACTTTTCTTTCACAAATTCGGCCTTTTAAGACGTACATATGTTCTCACTCAAACTTGATTTTTGAGCCGCTTTGGTGTAGATTTTTCGCTTCTGCTCTTTGTTTTTTCTCTATTCCGATGATTGTTGACTTGTTTGCATATCAAACTCATAAACCCATGTCTCATCGGCAGATGTAATAATCTTCATGAATGTGCGATCGGAATTCACACAATCAAGCATGCCTTAAGAGACCTGTATACGGTACTCTTTAAAAATAAAGTTCAGCTTTGTCGAGACGAGTCAAGTAAGAACGCATTTCGTACCCAAAATATGCACTAAAATCATTCGGACCGACTCGCGAAAGATGCTAAGCTCTCTTGCCATCTCTCTAACACTTAATTCACGATTTTCAAGCGCCATATCTTCCACATTTTTCATATTTTCATCAATTGAAGCGGTCGAAGGTCGTCCAAAACGAGGTATGTCTTCAACGATTTCTCGATCGCTATTGAATGCTTGGTACCACTAATTAGTTGGTAACGCACCTTACACATTCTCTGTATATTTTAAAGATCCTCTGATGTTTTTCAAGCAAAAGTAGTGGCAATCAAGGTACTTCTCCGAAGTATATTTTTTTTCAGGCCGGCATGCATTCAGTCCGATAGCAGACTGCTATACAGGCCTTGAGTTCGCTGACAGTGAGCTCAAGGCTAATCGAGGGGTGTATGACCCACTAACAGAAGCATGCAGTTACTTCCATGTGAGACTTTGTTGGGTGACTAGTCACAGTAGAATCGTTATCATTGGACATTGTAGAGCCGATGAGCTTGCAGGAAAGAAATCACATCCAGTTGGGAACTAGGCGGTGATCGTTTATCTTTGTGTGTTCGGGCAAGAAAAAACCCCTACACAAACCTAATGGCATCAGAGCGTCTATGTATTCTGTACCTAAAAACCGTGAGCTTGAGCTCAACAATCGTTGTTCAGCAATCAGCACTTGTGCTGATTTCATTCAAGTTTGGAAGTAAGCGGTCTATTGAACTCTCTCTCTTAGCAAAGTTCACATAATCGCAATGACAGGTGTTGTTATTAGTCCTTAGGCGAGGAGGCTAAAGAATTTGAATGCCGTAACTTATCAAAGTTGAATGGAAACGGCTCGACGCTTTCTCCTCCACTGTTCAAACAGAAGGTTGAAGCATCTCGGCTGTCATAGCTTATACGAACCAGGCGAATTGGCTAAAATGGATTTTCACAAACCTCAATATGTGCAACTGGCGCAAAGCGAGCACCTTGTCGATATACGACAGTCTCTTTGAACCATATCTTGGCCGGCCCAGCGCCACCAGCTGTCTACTTGGGATTATTCGTGGCCTCATGAATATCAGACGGTTTTCTTAACCTATCTTAAAGAACCTCTGACTAAATCTAGGCTAGTTCGAAGCATCTTGCTTGCCATAGCATCGAAGCACTTCGAGAATTGCCTAAGGATATTAGCCACCTCAATAGTTTTATGGCAGGCTCAAAGATCCATAGCCAGGAGTTCTGGACATTACAACGAACAGGCATCTCTTGCTGTCCAAGTGGTATTATTCATGACTTCACGATTAACGGTCTTTTGACAGAACCTTACCTAAAGAATATCTGAATAAGATTAGCTCGAGGTAAGGTCCATCTCTTCTACGAACCAGACGCGCTTTGTCTATACACGACGAGATTTTTGATAACAGTTTGTCAAAAAAGTCTTGCGGAAATCAATCAAACACGTGTTAGCGCGTGAAATTAGCTTTCCAAAAAGGTATATCATGACCCGATGTGACGAATAAAAGTAGAACTATGCGCTCTCAGCGCCAACTAGCGAAAATATCGCAAGACTTTTTTGACAATCTAATACATACTTCAATAAGTGGGACTATTCGTGGCCGAACGATTAGCGATCTGGTTTCTAATGTAACCTAAAGAACCTCTTGAGGCATCTCGGTTACTATAGTCTCAACGAAGTAGGCGAATTTTCCAAAATTGATATTAACCGTCTCAACAATTTTGAGGTAGGCGGGCTCTTTGTGGGTACACGATGGTCTATTTGACCCATTCCGAGAAATTCTGCGAATCACAATAGACATAATCCAATTAGGATTATACGTGGTCTCACAAATATCAGCCCGTTTATCTAACCCAACCTAGAGAACCTCTGACTATGACTAGGTAGAGTAAGGTTGAATAATCTCGTTGCCGTTCCGCTCAACAGCGGTCTTTCCGATCCATTCCGAGGAATTCTGCGAATCACAATAGACAAGCGTCTCTAGCCTCTGGCTAGATTATATGTGGTCTCACGAACCTCTGGGAATTTATACACCAAAAAATAAAAGTTTTGTTGATAGTTAATTTCTGACTTCAAGCGACCATCCTTCTTTCTAAGTATAGTCACATAGGTGTTTTAAAAAAAATCCTATATTCCACAGAGCTTCACCATCAAATACCAAAACAATGTAACTGAATGTGCATATTCACTGTGTCTACGAACATGAATATGAACGTTTCTCAGCGCTTCGACACGCATGTAAAATTGTAATAAACCAAACAATGCAGCCAATGATCCAAATCAGAGGGAATCGCGGCTACCAACGAGCGCATATTTCAAGGTTAAATTGACTTCAATAACCGCCACCGCATTTACCCACCATTAACGTGCGGTCATAGGACCACAAGACGACAGCAACCAAGAAAAAATGAAAAAGGAAAAACGAAGAATGAAGAATGAAAACTGTCGCGCCCGCGCTTTGGCGATCATCGTCATACGCCACTGTAATGTCAGCAGTACAACAAAGTTTGCAGCAATCGCCTCGGCATAGTAATCATTGCAGCATACGATTACATGTCGTCGTCAACGTACGCGCGCAATCCAGCACATCTTCGTGCTGAGTTCGGCTCACATGCATTTTGCGCTTGTAGCTTTTGCCTATGTCATCGTCATCGTAGTCAGCTTCGTTGCCGTGTTGTCGTCATCAGCATCATCGTCGTCGTCAACATACGCACACTCGCCGCAGCATGAATGCGATCAGGGGCGGACAGCGTATTGCAACAACAACAATGCCAAACGAACAACTACTGGCGATACTCGCTGCAGTGGCAAATGCACAGCACAGTGCAGCCGCCAATTGGCTGAAGTCGGCGATATGAGCTGCTGGCGAGATCATCTCAAGTGGCTTACGGGGTAACAGGGCGGCGGCGGTGGTGGTGTTGGTGGCGTATCGACTCTGGCGAAATATTACAGGAATTCAATGCGCATATCAAAGCGATCGATAAGTCACGATTCCTGAGGGTATGGCTTGGAATTCGTTGTCGGTTGGCTGTTTGCTTGCGCGGTTTGCTTGCTAGCTGCCATGGTGCGCGCTTAGTGGCTAACTGCCAGCGCTTGCTTTTATTTGCCTGCGCGTCGTTAAAATTTCTATTTGTTTTCTTTCTTCAATACTTTTTGCCTTTTTTGAAGATTGTATTCGAGCGCCTTTATTCTATTTTTTCGCTGCAGAGTTGTATGTGCTTGCTGCTTGTGGTTGCTTCTAAGACGGCGGCTGGCCGCGGCCGTTTGCACGACGATTATGCGCTGCAACAAAATGTCAGTAGCGGCAGCTGCGATTTGCGAATCTGCGCCTTCGTTCATTGCCTTGCCTCCACCGTCTTTTGCTGTTGCTGCTGTAATTTTTTGTTACTATCGTTTTTGGTCAACTTGTAAATGTTTGCCCATCAATTTATGCATGCAACGGCAAACGGTTGTGCGCACATTGCAATTATGCCTTCGGTTTCTCTCTTCCAGTAGGCTTATCTGTCTTTTGTAGTGCCCGCTGCTGGCGCTGCTACCAACAATGCACGCTTACTTGTTTGCGCGATGATGAGTAGCTGCATAAGGTCCAAGTGGATAGCGCCAAGGTGCCCAAAATAAGTAGCGAATTAAGCTGATAATTATTGCAAGTCGTTGGGAAAGAGTGATGCTGCAACATAAGCAGTCAATGTAGTGATTAGTTTGGGGAAGACATATACCCATGTAATTATATATACATATGTACATACATAATTGTAGATGTTTGCCAGAGAATATGTGGTATTTGTCGTAAGATTTTTAAGACACATGTTGCGTTGCTCACTTTAACTCCTCTTCTCAATTTTTTTTATCTCTTTGACATTGAAAATGCTCCAAACGATCACCCTGATCTCATAAAGGAAATAGAGAAAAATCCGTTATTTTTACTTTAAATTGTTGCTTTTTTATAGCACAGTTAGCAGGATCAATCATGCACCGTTTTGTTTAATTACTTGTTGCCATTTTGAAAGTCATTTCACAACTTCATAGAAATACTCGTTCTTATTGACAAAACACTCAGTCGATTTTCAATGGCTTCCTTTAAGACGAACTTTTTACCAATAAAATCGTACGAGAGGTGGAAATCACGCTGTCACAAGTTCGTACTATGAGATCAATGCATAAGAATCTCCCAAACAAGATTCCGGAGCTGAGGCTGGCGAGTCATAAAACTCGCTGTTGTCCTGATGGAACTCTAGTAGCCAAAAATGGACACTTCTAGGCAATAACTTCCTTCAAGTGAAGTAATCGTTGACACCACTACTTCG